TAGGCACATTCGAGTAATTTCCCAAAACCATTCCATTCACCAAGATGCTGTCTTTAATTCTTAACTACTTTCTCATTTACACTTCTATTGTACTACTATTAATTAACCGGAGAGGTAAACTAGTACACTTTATAGGGAAAAAACTACCAACTAACTTTATTGTCAAGTATCATATAACAAAAACTGTAACTTATTTCTAGGACGGATGAGTATTTTACTCCTATTTTTGGTATATATAATGAATGAAAAATACTCCGCATATATATGTTATGCTGAACGGGTTAGGTATGGATTCGATTTTGTGTCCAAATATATGTTTGCACACACTTACGTTAGGGTAAAATTAGGGAGTGTTTGCAATTATTTCAACTTTAAAAAAGTGATTTTTTAAAGTGATTTGGGGAAAAGTGATTAATAGTAAAAGTTGGTAGTGTTTGAGGAAAAAGTGATTCTGAAAAAGTAAAAGTTGGTAGTGTTTGGTAAAATAAGTACTTTTTGTGTAATAGAAAAAGTGAAAAACAGTTTAAAGCACTCTTCCACCTGCTTCCAGCTTTTAGCTTTTAAGTGATTAATTTAAGCAGAAGCTGTCATTTGAAAACACTCTTTTTAACTTTTTTTAAGCCAAAAGCTGAAAAATGCTTTTTTTAATCAACTGCAAACACTCCTTTAGTTCAGTGTCAATCTGGCTTTTAGCCTACTAAAAAAATTGAAGCAGATTGGACTGATTTTTGGTTCGATTCTGGTTCGTAACGGAAGCGTTTGATGAAAGTTTTAGGATTAAGGGAGTGTTTGCAATCACTTAAAAAAAGCACTTCTCAGCTTTTGGCTTAAAAAGCACTTATTTATCAAACACTACCAATTTTTACTTTTTCTCGGCTTGCGTGTGAAAAGTGCTTTTCCCCTTTCTGTTACACAAAAAGCACTTATTTTACCAAACACTATCAACTTTTACTTTTCAAAATCACTTTTTTCTCAAACACTATCAACTTTTCCTACTAATCACTTTTTCCTTACTTTTCAGAAGCAGTTGCAAACACTCACTAAATTTATGGTCTTGGAATAGAGATCACTTCCACACCATTATAGTCAAGGCTCAAACCTTGCTTATAAAATTATTAGAATATTAGTTGGTTGAGAAGAGAAAATTGCAATACGTACTGTTATATTGCCACTCAAATGTACACATCTGTTTTTAGCAATATATACCAAAAAAATAAAAGACACTAATTATATTATATTGAATAAACCTCAGATTAGTATATAAGAAAGAAGAATGGGCAGAATATATATATCTCAGGAGGAGTACGTATATCGTACACCCGGTGTACGGGTTAGAACAGTACATCCGGTTTTTTTTTTAAATTTTTTAAGCTTCAGTCCATTTTAATAACCCAGTTTGAATAGAATTAAATGAATCCCACGGAAGGCCCATAAAAAGGCCCAATTAAAAGAAAGACAGTCCATTTAATTAAAACAACTTTTTTTTCGGTGGCAGTTTTGTAATTTAAGCAAAAAATAATGGCTCCCGCTAAATGAGCAATAGAGAGAATTCCCTAAATAGGAGTAAAAAAGTTTTGAAATTCCAAAATAGGAGTATCATGTTTTTATTCCCTAAATAGGAGTAAATTTCTGCCAAGTTTGGAAATTACAAGGCTTTAAACATGGCATTTTTTTCCAAACTTGGCAGATTACTCCTATTTAGGGAATAAAAAACATGATACTCCTATTTTGGAATTTCAAAACGTTTTTACTCCTATTTAGGGTAATTTCTGTGAGCAATATTGTAGTTTTGTTGAGCATCTCACATATTGTATTGAGTATTATGAGACTAATAATGAGTATCACGATCTCTGCTTCATATCTTCTTTTTTTTCTGCTATAAAAACTTACTCCGTATTAAATTATATCTAAAATTCACTGCTATCAATTTCAATATGTGAGTCTAATGTAATATGATACTTTTGAAATATGCATTGATATGACATTTTAAAAATGAGCAAAACATCAGTATCAAATGAGCATACATAACTAACAAAGTGCACATTGATATGAAAATTGTTAGGTTTGTTAGTGCACATCATGACATTTTTAAATGAGCATCAAACCTCAACTATTGAGATGAAAATCACGACTTCTGGAGAATGAGTAATAATGAACTTTTAATGAGCACCCTAACTATTCTGTTGAGTATTGGGAGTCTAATATTCAGAATCGTGATCTCTGCTTTACAAACTTCTAATTCACTTTCTTTTTGTTATTTTTTATTGTAAGGTTTGTTAGTTAAACATCACGACATTTTAAATGAGCATCAAACATCTGCTATTGAGATGAAAATCATAGTTTCTTGTGAATGAGCAATAATGAACTTTTAATGAGCATCAAACCTATTATGTTGAGTATTAGAAGTCTATCATAAAATAATACTTTTTAAAAATGCATCGATATGACATTTAGGAAATGAGCATAAAATGAGTATCAGATGAGCATATGTAACTTACAACATGAGTATTAATGAATTTGTTAGTTGCTTTGTTGGTTAAACATCGCAACATTTTCATTCAACACCAAAACTCCTCTATTGAGATTGATGAAAATCACGATTTCTATTAAATGAGCATTAATAAATTATTAATGAGCATGTGTAACTTACACGATGAGCATTGATATGAAAATTGTAATTTTTATTCGTTGAGCATCAAATCCCCGTTATTGAGTATTGGAATCTGCGATTGAGTATCATGATTTGTGGTCTCGTGTCTATAATTAACTCTTATATAAATCTAATGTAATATGAGATTTTTGAAATGTGCATTCCTAAAACATTTTAAAAAATGAGCATAGCAGAGATACTAAATGAACATTCATAATTTACAAAATGAGTATTCAAAAATTTGAAAGCTCATTTGTATATGTTCATTTTTAAGCATTTTACTCATTTGAGTTTAAGCTAAAACTCATTTCTAATGTGCTCAAAATAATATAAAAAAAAATCAACAAATAAACAAACGAAAAGAAGTAAAAAATAAGACTAAACAAAATAAAGTAAAATCAAAAGCAAAGAAAAAGTCAAAAGCAAAAGAGAAAATTAGATGGCGGTTGTGCACAGAGCAAAAAGCAATCTCTTGGCCACAACGAAACAACGTTGAATGGCGCTTCGTACTTCCTTCACCAGATCAGCGCTTCCTTCATCCGAACACCCAGCGAGCGAGCAGCAGCGGAAGGAATTTTCAGGACTCCTAACAGATCGGCTCTTCCTTCATCAGACTTCAGCGAGCTAGCAGACCAACGCCTCCATCATCAGACCTAGCGAGCAGAAGGGATCGGAAGACAGAACATTCACCATTGAGGTTCTAATTAATTGCAAAAATACCCGGTTGTACGGTGAGAACTGTACAACCGGGTGTACGATATAATTTACCCCTCAGGAGTGCTTCTTAGGTAGTGAATGGATCCAGAAATGAGAATTTTCTTGTAAAAAGAAATGATAATTATAGAAAGATTTGGGCTCTTAAATGGGCATATTATTTATTTAATTATTACTTGCAAGTTTCAGATATTATAGTAGTATTAACCATTTTTTCTTTTTGGTTGCAGGCCATATCAGTGAAGGCAAGTGTGTGCGGAAGTCAAGCTTACTTGGAGCGCATTGACTTTTTTATGTTATTGATTGGAATGTGCTAGATAAGTGTAATTGCTAGTACTTGAAATAAAATGTGAAACTTAATACGCTGAGATCATATTTTCATATGATCATTGAATTTAGTTGTCTTCTTTTATATTTTCATTTTTCATTCCGCTTTAATTTTTTGTCAAAAGTATGGGTATATAGTAATTTATAGATATATTATACTTCAATTATTTTAATTATTAAACAATTTTTTTCAAAACAATTTTTTTGTTTGCTGATGTGAAATTGAAACATGAATTTAAATATTGTTATTATTTAAATAAACATTATGATGTTTTAACAAAAAATATGAGTCCGTTTTATTACTATGTTTTTTTAGGCTTATTAGTCATTTTTTCATTAATTGTGTAATTTTTTACTTTATGTGAATTGTATAATAATAAACCGATTTTGCTATTTTCATAAATTTTTTATTTTGAATTTGATATTACCAAATAGGCACTTTATGATTTGTATAAGTAAATATTGAAGCAATTTTTAAAAACATCAAAGCAATTAGTAATCCAAACAATAAAAAATATAACATCCAATTTAATTCATACAATGAGAAAGGGTACACATGTCATTTTAATTACATTTCATTCTCCGTATTTGTTCATTCGAGTGTAATACATTTGTATTTGTATAAGGGTAAATAGATATTTGAAATAACTTTATCTATTTATATTTAATTAGGTGGTTGTAACCAGTACTCCCTCCATTTTGCAATTAAAGTCACGCTTTTCTTTTTTGGATGTTTCAAAAACAAAGTCACACTTCACTTATTTTCTTATTTAGCAAAGAAATCTAAATCAAAACAGTGTCAAACATTGTCAAAGACTCAAAATAGTACTCCCTCCGTCCCAAAATGGTTGGCCAATGTTGACTTGCACGTGGATTAATAAAGTAAAAACTGTGTGGTTGAAATTTGTGCAGAGGAGAGAGAATTAACTTTAGCCACATATTTCTTACTTTAAATGGAAATGGACAACCTTTTTGGGACGACCAAAAAAGGAAATTTGGCCAACCATTTTGGGACGGAGGGAGTATCAAATAGTGTCTAAATAGGGTTCTCTACTGTGAAGTCAATTTGTTTCTTTAATGCTTGATACGTCAAACCGTGACTTTGATTGTAAAAAAGAGTAATTTAGTGGTGTAAATAGAATCACCTTTTTCTTAGCCAAGCTTTACCAACAGGGGTGGATCATTGTGAGGGCAGAGGAGAGATCTAGCCCAGCCCAATTGTTTTCAATTAGTAATGGTATAGCCCAAATGTCCAGCCCACCACAAAATTAATCCCAGCTCAGCCCAGCTCAAGCATAGTACCAGACTATTCCAGCAAACCTGCGGCCTGCTTCTGCGAACTGGCGGAAGCTTGGAAGCAGCTGAACTGCACCACGAAGGTCGAAGTGGCCAGAGGGAGTAGCGGAGCTGCGACGGAGAGACGAACACCACCGAACTGCGACCACCATCTGCGCCGCCTCCCTCCGTCCACGTTCCAGGTCCCTGCGTCAGCTGTCTCCCCTCTCCGGCTCTCCGATTGACCGAGTCCGCCTCTGCCCTTTGCGGCTCTGCCTCCAGCTCCAGGTATACTCTAAATTCTAATACTCTTTTAGACCTTTTTTTCTTGATTAAACATTGTATTATTTTGTGAAACATTGTTAATCTATTTGAATATTTATTAACACAAAAGACCTGGAGCGGTTGTGATATTGTGTTTTATTGGTTAAACATTGTATCATTTTGTGACTTTGTGTTACTGTGTATTTTTTTTCAGTTTTGTAATTCTATTTGATTATTAATTGAAATTTCCAGAACATAATAAAATACTGTTAATTCACTATAAATTTACTCCGTATAATGATTAAAGATAGAATTAAATATTAGAAAATGATTTATTTTTTATACAAATGAAGATTAGAGAATGATTTATTTATTGTGGGGACATGTAACTATGTAAGTAAGAATTAAAAATTTCAATTGAATTTTGAAATTGGAAATGCATATCAGTTTTATGTACAATGATCGTTTTTTTCTTATCAGTTTTATAAATTTATAGAAGGAATTTAATTCATACCAATATTGAATGTAGAAGTTTAGACTATACTCGTCAATAGACTGACGTTCAAATTATTCAATAAATACTAGAATCTTTTAATAAACATAGCTAAAGCGCCTACTAAGCCGAAACTGCCGCTAGTTAGCAGCGTCAAAACCACTACCGCCGCAAGCGACTACCGAGAAAGCTGCTGCCGCCACTAATAAGTTTAAGAACCACCACGCTTTGCTACTCTTTCGTTAAGAAACCACCCCCACCGAAAGTAAAAACTCTTCCTATTTTTAATCATGGTGTTCTATTATTGATGTTTATTTTGTTAATACCTTCTATTGGTGTTCTATAGAAGGTAGAAATTTGTTCTATCAATATGGCGTTCACGGTTGAAATTTTCAGTGTATTTCATTTTCATGCCCGTAGGGTGTTTGTTAAAATGCTACAATGGAATACTCCATATTTATCTAATATTTAAAGATGATATAAAGTACTTACTTTATAGTGGGTTAAGATCCCATGATTTATAGCTTATTAGTGTGTCAGTTCATACTTAAAAGCTTGTTTGGTAGCTCTATCTAATGTTTCAAACTATAGATAAATATATCACCTCTCACAAAAGAACCAAAAAGCTGGAATAATTGATGCCCATTTAGACATGATTATTTGTCCAAAACGTATAATGGATTTGATAGCTTGTTGTGTAAAACATGGTGAAATTTGTAGCTGCTAAATCTAAATGTGGACTCTGTAAAATTCATGTGCTCCATTCTGTCCGACCTGATTATTGAGGTTTTAATTATAGATATTGTAGTTTTTCTACAATAACTTTAATAAATCAATAATCTAGTTAATGTATGTTTCTTAGTTAATTCATCGTATGATTCTTATGCAATGTTCAAACCGTGTGCGTGATTTATCCATTTTTTTCAGAATTAGGATTCAATATGTAGGTGAATAAATGAAATCCAAACATGTTTGAATAATTTCAATCACCATTTTTTTAATTTATAATTTTCTCCACGCACTGTTAGCAAATAGCAGTATCAGTTCCCGACAATTTAAACATATTTTGTTGTTCAAAGTGAAATAAATTAAATATAGAGTTTTATACATAATTATTGTGTTTTAAATGGTGAATTTGAAAAAGTAAAAAATCATCTTATAATTTCGGATTAAATATCTAATGTTTGCTTTACTGAGTTGCTCTCATTTAGTGGCCAGAATAGAGACTCAAAAGTAAATGAAGTACATCTTGAATTCTTCTTCTACGCATGCCAAATGCATTTTTTTCATGCCAAATACGTATAGCTAATAACCAAAAGAAGTTAAAAGATTTAAAAACAAACATAGATATATTAAGACAAAAAAAGAGATTGAAACATCTCTTAAAACCTTAACATAACTCACAATATTGATTTAGACTATACTTTTATAGTTCATACTTTAGTATTATTTTTCTTTTTTGTGATTTTAATTGTCGAAAAAATATGCGGTTTTTCAAATAAAAAACACTTCAATCAGATACTCGAGCGCAAAACAAAGTTTATTTGCAATTATAAAAAATCTCTTTTTTAATGTGGTTATAACCGGAACCGCAACAAAAATATATTTTTGATGCATTTCTTGGTGAAATCTCTTTAATATAATTATTATTTTTTATTTAATTTCTGTATCACTTATAAGATATATGGTTTGAAAAGGGTAAAGGTAGACTTTGCTTGTTTCTAAAAACATAGTTTGAGGGCTACTTTGAACCAAAGAAAAGAGTGATATATACTTTCGGCCTATTATAGTTGAGGAATTTATTTGCCCCAAAAAATTGGATGACACCCATCCTCAGAGTTTTTAACTATTCCCGGAAATATTTATAGGGCAAAAATAATTTTGAATAATACGGAGTACAAATTATCGTTGATGAACCAAGAATAATACGTACTTTGAAAGTAACTTTTAAGTTTTAATAATACCAATTAATTGAATATGTAACAGAAGTGATACCGAGCAATTTTTCAATAAAAGTCAGTCATTTAATTCACCAAAAACTGATACTAAAATATCAAATTAGTAACCTTAATTTCAAATATCATTTATTTGAAGGTTTGATATCATGTTTTGGTGTCCTAAATGATTGGATTTCTTATTGAAAAGTGACTCCATATTATTTTTGTTATATATTCAAATAGTTGGTATTATTAGAAATCATTTCCAAAGCATTCATTATTATTGGTTTATGGATGATAGTTGGTCTTATTTAAAGTTACTTTCCATATAATATATGATCAATGAATGGAACAATATCCTTTTGCAAAAACGGGTACTATACTAGTTTATTTTACGAGGGAAACCCTCATCTCCAATTGCTATTTGACGTCTTTGTATCACAGACTCAGCATGTTGGCAGAAGCATTTTCCTTGGGAATCCACCGTTGGTTCAAGTCAAAACTAAAGCTCCCACCTCTGCACCTCAATTCACACTACCTTAGCTTGCCCGACCTGATCATAGATGATTCCCCCGCGAACCACTTTGAATCCGCCCTTACTGATTGCACTCCAGTCTTGAAGTCCAGTTCAAGTGCCACCGCTCAAGAAATTCAGACCATTCTCAAGCGTCACGGTGACAAATCCATCACTGGGCTGCACATCTACCTCAGCGAGAGCGTGTTCTCCTTAACAGATGAGTTGGTTCTTGATGTGATTAAACGGCACCGCTGTGATTGGAAACCGGCATATGCATTCTTCAGTTGGGTGTTGGAAGGTGGAAATAATCGCAAGGGATACTCGCCTGGGAGTGCTGTTTACAACCAAGTTATCGACATCCTTGGGAAAATGAGACGTTTTGACGAGCTGAACCAGGTGCTCAAGGTAATGACTGAAAGAGGAAGCGTGTTCACTGAAAGAACATACGGGATTGTTGTTAATAGATACGCTGCGGCCCACAAAGTTGATGAAGCTATAGGTTTTCTCTACAAGAGGAAAGACTTTGGGCTAGAGATAGATTTGGTTGCTTTCCAAATCCTTTTGATGTCTTTGTGCAGGTTCAAACATGTGGCGGCCGCCGAATTCTTGTACCATAACAAGAAAAAGGAGTTCAGGGACGAGATAAAAACACGCAACATAATCCTGAATGGTTGGTGTGTTCTGGGTAGCTTGCGCGAGACGAAGCGGTTTTGGAACGATATAGTGACTTCTAACTGCAAACCAGACAAGTTCACATATGGGATATTCATCAATTCACTGTGCAAGTCTGGAAAAATAACCACGGCAGTGAAGCTGTTCCAAACAATGTGGGAAAAAGGGTGCAATCCGGACGTGGCTATCTGCAATTCCATTATAGACGGTTTGTGTTTCAAGAAGAGGATACCCGAGGCACTTGTGATTTTCAGAGAGATGAACGATAAAGACTGTCTGCCAGATTCTGCCACTTATAATTCCCTGATCAAATATATGTGTAAAATTGGTAGGACAAAGAAAGCGTATGAGCTTTTGGGGGAGATGGAACAAAATGGGGGTGATTGTTCACCAAACGCTAGAACTTACAGCTACTTAATTAACTCTGCCAAGAACCAAGAGGAAGTAACTCAGGTTCTGGAACGAATGGAGAAGCAGGGATGTGGGATGATTGGGGACACTTATAATTTGGTGTTGAGGGTGTATATGAGTTGGGGTTGTTATGGAAGTGTAAAAAAAATGTGGGATGAAATGGAAAGAGCTGGGTCAGGGCCAGATCAACGGTCATATACAATCATGATTCACGGGTTGTATGAGAAAGGAAGGCTAGAGGATGCATTGTGTTATTTCACTGAGATGACGTCGAAGGGGATGACACCAGAATCTAGGACAAGATTGTTAGTGAATGCCATCAGCATTACCTTGAAAGACAAAACAGTTTTATCCAACACTGCTCAGAGCAATGGCCTTCATCAAAGTCCAAAAGACCTGTGCTTACTTCAAGCGTTTTCAGGTCAAATTCAAAAGAAGGAGAGAGGGAAAGACTGACTATCGAGCTAGAACTAGATTGATCAATCAGGACAACGCACCAAAATACTGATTTGTTGTCCGATTTACCAACAAGGACATTATTGCTCAGATTGTATCAGCCAGTATAGCTGGGGACATGATTGTTGCATCAGCGTATGCTCATGAACTTACTCAGTTTGGCCTTGAAGTTGGCCTAACAAATTATGCTGCAGCATACTGCATTGGGCTTCTGTTGGCTCACGGAGTCCTCAAGAAACTCGAGATGGATGAAGATTATGAAGGAAATGTTGAGGCTACTGGGGAAGACTACTCTGTGGAACCTGGTGAAAGCAGGAGGCCTTTCCGTGCTCTCTTGGATGTCGGTCTAATCCAAACAACCACTGGGAATCGTGTCTTGGTGCTCTGAAGGTTGCTTTGGATGGGGGACTTGACATTCCTCACAGTGACAAGGGATTTGCTGGATTCAGTAACGATTCAAGCAACTTGATGTTGACACTCACCGCAAGTACATCTATGGAGGTCATGCTGTGGCATACATGAACAGTTTGATGGAAGATGAATCAGAGAAGTACCAATCTAATATATCAAAAAGGGCATTGAGACAGACAACATTGAGGAGATTTACAAAAAGGTTCATGCTGCTATATGTGCTGATCCTTGCCCAATGAAGACCAAGAAGCAGCCTCCTATGGAGCACAAGAGGTTCAACCTGAAGAAACTAACTTTTGAGGAGAGGAAGGCCAAGTTGGTAGAGAGGCTCAACACTTTAAATGCAGCTGCAGGAAATGCTGATGACGATGATGATGAGTGAACAATATGAAAAGAACATTGTCCACCTATTTCCAAATTGTTTTTTCTAGTATTTTAATCCAAAGTTATGACTCAATTTTGCCTGATGCATGTCTTTCCCTTCCATGAGTGGATTTTGGATTTGTATCATCTGCTCCTATATTATTTCTTATAGCTTTTTCCTGCTCTCTAAAAAAAGACAAACCTGTTGTTTCTAAGAAGGTGGCAGCCAATAAGTAACTTATATTCAGTGTTTTTTCATCAACACTGGGTGATTAGAAGTAAATCTGAGTTATTCGAACACTGAATATTGCTAAACCAACCGTCAGGCCTTTCTACATCAAAACCTTTATATGCCGCATAACTCTTTGAGTGTTTGATAGAGTCTAGATGTGTCTTGGGAGTTATGTGACATTTGTTGGATTGCTGTTCCTTTTATATTTCCCACTTTTTGATGTTGCGACGTTCTCCAATGTGTCTTTGTGTCAATCTCCCATGTTTATTTTTTATTCTAAAACTAGTTAATAAACGCGCCATGCGCGTTCGTGCAAATGCCCAATGAAACATATTATTATATGATATGATGTTAAGAACAACTATAGGCAATTTTTTCATCCCAAAACAATACTTCATATACTTTATGGAGTATCTCCAATGCTACAATGTACACGGTGCACATGTGACATGAAACGTAGCGACATAAATACGAACCAATGCTTTTCATTTTCATAACCTACCATAAGCTATGTAGCACGAAAACTCTCGGGAAGTGTAAGTTTCCATTCCGGAAACTCTATGAAAACTCTTCAAACAAGCGTTTTTTGACCAAAAGTTGACGTTTCCTGTTTTACGAAAACTCTCGGGAAGAGTACGTTTCCGTTTCGAAAACTGGTTTGATTAGTTAAATCCCCGGAAGTGATTAAAATCGGGAAAACTCAGACGACCCGGAAAAACCCGGTCCAGACCTAAACCTGACAAACCTAGAAGACCTGATTTTGGTTGTTTTTTTTAAAAGAAGTAATTCATTTTAATACATTTTTAACCGATGAAATTTCAATGCTCAAAAAGAAAAAATATGCCATATATTTAGACAATACTTATTTGCTTAAAAATAAATATCATGTCAAATTATATCCTACCTTTGTCTCAAATTGATTTGCAAAATTGGTTTTTCTTGATCAAAAAGTTTTATTTATTCACTTAATTAGGATGTCAAATTTTTTGTTATATTCTAATTTTTAATTTGTGACTTTGAAGAGATTTTGATGTAGTTTCTAAACATGTAAATTTTAATTATTGAAAATTGAATTATTTATCAATAAGGAGGATTTGACTATAACAAATACGAAGTATCATTATATATTTCAATAAGATCAAAATGGTATTTTGGAATTTTATGAGGCTGTTTTAACTTTTAAATGTTTAGTAAGTATTATCATTAGTTGATCATTATGAAATAACTACTTTTATTTAAATTTGTGTATACAAATATATTATTATTATTATTATTACTATTATTATTATAATTATTATTATTATTATTATTATTATTATTATTATTATTATTATATGGTTGACCGGTTTTATGACATTGACCGCGTTGACCCGACGGGGTTCGGGTGACATAGTCACGCATCCCACATCCGGGTCGCCTCCCGGCCTGATTTCTTAATTAACATAGATTTTTTTTTAGAATAATACAGAGTAATACCCAAGGGGCAACCTAGTAATTACAAAAGTGTTACACATTAAGTCGGGTGGCCTAAACATAATAAGGATGTTTTTCCTTAGTTTGGACCGTTTTCAGTCACAGACCAGACCAAACCAGCCTTCCATCGTTATGTGAAATACGCAGAGAACATACATTTATCAGTCCAGACCAGACTAAAATAGATCGACCTGACCAAATCAGCAAAAACATCCTAAGTAATCCTTTAATATTATGGCAAAATGCCAACAACATTGAAATACTACGTATGTTTTCTTCAAATGAGCATTTATGCAAACATCTAGCAATCAAAATTACAACAAATGGAAAAATCAATTGTCCAACATTCATGAACAAGATGTTTTTCCTTAGTTTGGACCGTTTTCAGTCACAGACCAGACCAAACCAGACTTCCATCGTTATGTGAAATACGCAGAGAGCATGCATTTTTCAGTCCAGACCAGACTAAAATAGACCAGACCAGATCAACAAAAACATCCTAACTAATCCTTCAATATTATGGCAAAAAGCCAACAACATTGAAATACTACGTATGTTTTCTTCAAATGAGCATTTATGCAAACATCTAGCAATCAAAATTAAAACAAATGGAAAAATCAATTGTCTAACATTCTTAAACACAGAAACTACATGATAAATATATGCTTTCATGATTGATATCAAAACTATCAATAGGAAATTACATCAAAGAAGAAATTAGAACAAAGCAAAGTGACATTGGCAATCTATGAAGATAATATTTACTTCTAAATTAAAGCTACAAGATTGTGCGCAAATATAGTGAAATAAAAATTAGAAGAGATTGTGATTAAAAGAGCAAAAGATACGTAGTATTGAAAAATCACGCTTGAGCTTTCAAATGGTGTTTCAGTCCCAACCCCATGAGTAAATGGAAGGTTAAATAGCATTAATTGAATTGAAATAAAAAATAAATCTATTGGTGCTTAAACGGAAGTTAGCTAACGTTCAAAGTATCATTTTAGATTAGAGAGAAACTATGCATGAAGTACAAGTTCTTAATGCATAAAGAGAAACCAACATTTTTTACATTCCCATTACACCCTTAACATTATTCATGCTTATAGAGATGTAGAGAAGAGGTAATGAATGCAGAACCATGACAAATTAAAATGACATGCAAATACTAATATAATTACGTACATCTCGTAGTTTTGAAGAAAATATAGTCAATATACAACATACGGTAGCAAATTAACTAAGACACCGAGCAAATAAAGAACAAAACAAATTAAAATGGTATTTAAAGACTAACTCATATGGGGTTTGGTAGCAAAATCCACTATTTTAAGGAAATTAGGAGCTACCTTACAATAACATAGATTAATTTTAATAATAAATGCTTTATTTGAAAATAAACACCCATTTAGAGCGCTTTTTGTATAGTTAGAAAGCACGTTAACAAGATTGAATAACTAATTTGAAAACAGGTTATATTATTAGAGCACAACATGGAAAAAAATTAATCAATTTTCTAAATTGTGATCCCACAATGTCCTTTTTGCTGCATTGACTTACCCCCTTGATTCTGATATGAAAAATCAAGTGGTTACTTCATATTCTTATTACCGGAATATTTGCAAATATGAGATTTAACAAGTTTCTTTCATGTGTCTTCATGTCTTGATAGATAATTAAAACCGCTCAAGACAATAGACATTATCCCGCTCAAGACTCAACCTCTTCAAAAATAAGTGCTAGTAGACATTATTATCCTACTCAAGGCTTCAAAAACATGCTTTAATATCCCAGACGTTTTAGGAGTTTAAGGTCAAGCTAAGGCAATGATGCACTGACTTGAAGAATGAAAACATTCTCTTTTAATAACAACAATCTGAATAATGTATATTACCCAATTACTAAGAAAGAATCACATAGTAATGACTCCTAAGGGACCAAACCAAGTCAAACTAGACAAAATAGTGTAGGGTGTGTTTCGAAAAACAAAGAAAAATAACTAATAAAAATTAATTAAATAAAATGACTTAAAGAAAAACAAGAAATGAGATGAAGCAGAATAAGCCAAAGCTCGTGCTACGCACGATTTCCTTAAAACGTATTCGTTGCCTCCCGGGGTGTTAGGAGCATTGCAACAATCGTTTCCCAGGATACGATGACTTCGAACGATAGTTTAGCACTCAAACTATGGTTCCAACGAACGAGAACAATGCTGTGAACACTGAAGGTTTTTTTCGGAGAAGACTGGAGTGTTTTTGAGCTAAAAGAGAGTGCAGTACGTATGTGTGTTGTGTCTGTTTTGCAAAGTCTCTACCAGCCTTTTATAGGGGTGGATTATGGTGTGTTAAAGGCTGTTTAAAGCATATGAATGTTGGACATCAATGCCCAACGTTTGGGACATTGATTCCAGCCAAAAACGTGTGCATTAAGTCCATGAACGTTGGACATTATGGCATATGGACGTTGGGCGAGCTGGAGAACAAAAATGGAACGTAATGGAAGAACAAAAATTAACGTTATCTGTAGAAGATAGGATTTTCGGATGGCATTCGTGTCCGCAGCCCGCAGGTCGCCCACAAGTCGCGCTGTTTGTTCTTCGGTTTCGGGATTTGATTAGCACTCCCCCGGGTGCGTGAGAGAGCCTTTCCCTTTAGGAAGCTTAACTCCTTGGGGGGGGGGGGGGGGGGGGGGTTCCTTTATAAAGGGTTCAAATTCCCTTGTGATTTTCGGTGTGGGAAAAACCCACACTAAAACCCACATTTTCCTAGTTTTCTCCATTCCAACGGGTAAACTTCGAAAAGCGATTTCTCATTCACCCGTTATCCGTTTTGAGCGTACCATATATCGAATTGTAGCCCTAAGCAAGGACAATCCGAAACCACTTTGACCCGACCCAAATCGGAAGTGGACCCCACTCAAAAAATTGCCCCAAAATGACCATTTAATGCAATTTTAACACACTTTTTCCAACAAATAGACCATACAAATTGAGCACAAAAGAAGACAGCCTAAATTATGACCACTTGCACTGTTGGAGAAACAGCCTGCCCTCGCAAATGTTGATGAATAACGTGTGATGTGCTCTTATCAAATGTTGGAGTAGACTTTGCATGTTGCAAATAACTAAGCTCCGTGCAACCTTTGTTAAATGTTGCAGTATACCACAGAAAATCCCTTCCTAACACCATGCTCTCAAGAGCTAAAGCACTTTTCAGGATATATAATACCAAAGAAATTTCATTCTCCAAACCATGGAACCCACCAAGTTCTACTTCTTTTAGATGAAGATGATTTATGGGAGATAGACTCCTTGGACGAAGTGGTCTGGGTGCTCTTACCGCCCTTTGCTGTACACATAGAAATTTATCATCATTACCCACAATGAAATAGCTAGAAGATTAACATCATATTTTGATATACTCCGGCTTTGTTGTTTGCAGGAAAACTAGCCAATGATTTCCTGGAAAATGAGATGTTTTACTGCTTGTAGGTACAAACAAATGTAATGTTTTACCCACAAAATAGAAAGAAAATTAAAGAACTGGGAAAGTAAAAAGGGTTTTCAAAGAAAATGACTTCCCCTTTTCAAAAGATGGAAGTCATTTTCCAAGAAGGTGTTCTCATAAGAATGCAAACAAGCCTGAACGAGCCTGAACAAGCTGAGCTAGAACTAGGGCATGCTAGAGCTCAATAAGAATGCACTGTCTCAAGTTCGAGCTAGAGCTCGAACGAGCCTAATAATTGTGGTCTGAGCTTATTCGTGCTCGGCTCAAGTTCGAATTTGAGCTCGAATGTGAGCTAAAATATTTCTATGTTTGAACTATTAATATTCACAAGTAAATAAATACAGAGTAGATAATACCCCGTATGTAATACTTGTACTTTGTAGTTCTCATTTTCATTAGCTTCTCTCTCCTTCACTGAACATGAACTAATTGGACAAAACCCAAACATAGCAAGCAAACAAATGCATCCTTCATTTGTTTATACACGACATAGAGAAAAAGTTGTGTTCTGCCAAAATGGATCCACGTTATTTTGCCAAGGACATTACACAAAGATTAAATGGACTGACCCTTGATCTTGCCATAATACCATTTGTGTGTACGTTTGATCCCTCCCCTTTTGTGTCTCTTTCTTATATGATTCACACAAGTTGCTTTTGTTGAAATGAGAATAAAATAAATAAATAGCTGACCTCCTTGACTTAAGTTAATAACAACATTAATTAAGTACCGAATAAAGTTGAATCAAATTATTTTGCTATGTTCACCTGAACCCAAACGAATCATTAAATAAGAAATAATAGTCACTCCTCAGTAAGGGAACTCACCACCAAATGCAATATCTGAAGCAGCAGACAGTGAATGATTAAACCAGCAACTTGGGTCACATCAACCCAGTCGTCATTGAACTCCATTAGTATTTCAAGCTGCCTCAAACGACTAAATGTGGGCACCTTGCACGGCAAACCATAAGGCATATGGTTTTTGTCCAAGCTTAAATCGAGACAACAAGTTTCAACCTCAGAACAATCCTTTGCTACCCAGCTAACGATGTGTGGTTGTATACTCCCTTGAAGCTGACATGCTAGAGCTTGGGGGCATGGGCAGGATGAGAAAACTTCAGTGGTAAACAACTCACTTCCAAGTTTAGAAGGTTTTCAGCACACAAATATATATATGTCCTCCTTTGCCCCATAACATGCGATAAAGGTTAATGACTTCAACTCCAGTTGTTTTCCTCCGCCAATGAACACCTTAGAAGGAAGAGAGCAAGCATCCAAGCATAGAGACTCATGTTTTGGGCATGATGACAATATGATCTTCACATCAACTGAATAAATCAAATGCAACGTTAGGGATTTTAGAGATTTGAACGGTTGTTGGGGGTTCCAGGTTGCACACGGACAAATACAGAGATGTGAGCATAGGTGCTTCTGCTCCGCACAAAAGCTTCTGAAGCGGGAATGTGATCCGTTCTCCATAGACTATATTACGCAACTTAAAGGTAGGCTCTTCCACACCCAATCAAGCAATGTGACGCACCCAATGCTCGAGATCAATATCACCTAAAATGGGGTGCCAATTTTTTTCTTTTGGTTGTCCCATTCACTTTGTCAGTTTCTCTTTTAAGTAAAGAATTTATGTGTTCAGTTAATCCTATCTCCTCTGCACAAACCACAACCACATAAGTTTTACTTCATTAATTTCCGTGGTGATCAAACTTAGGCAATTTTTTAAGGGACATAGGGTATATACGCAATATTAAACTTTGAAAATACATTTATATACTCCGTATTAAAGTATTCATAATACGAAAAGAATGTTGTTTATTAAAAAATATTATCACTCCGTATTATACAAGTATAAAATTTACGAGAATAAGTTTCACAAAAGTATATTAGTTCAAATGATTGATTAAATATTACCATCATTAAATAGAAAAATAAATATTACGGAGTACTAAGCATGCTTTCACTTGCACTCTAATTTTAAAATCTGGTTTTTTCTAGTCTGATTTGTTCAAAACTGATCTGATCTGGTTTAGTCTGGTAGATGTCTGGTCTCTGATCTATGGGGGTGTTTGGCAATTGGCCGTTGGCTGGTTCTGTTGGCTGATTACTGAAAGCGGATTCCGTTGGCCGTTTTGATAGCTGATAGTGTTAGTTGTTTATAAAATAGTGTTTGGTTAAACGGCTGTTTATAATCGGCTGATAGTTTGTTAAATTACTTAAAAAATAATTTACAATTTTAAAAACAAAAATTAATGAAAACAATATTAATTATTTTAACTTTTTTTTGCGAGGAAATTATTTAACATTTTTTCATGTATTAATATACTACGTATTTATTTAGTATGAGGATATTTTGTTCAATAAATGGAGTTATTAGTAAAAATATACCAAGTAAAAATATAGCAAGTGCAATCACCTAGACTCTGCTGGTGAGCACGCAGCCTTGGCAGATCAAAGCAACAGTGGGTATGAGCCGTACGTCAAACTGCCGGCAATCTGTGTGTGAAATCAAAACAACGATGGAATCAGTATAGGTTTTTTTTTTTTTTTTTGTTTTTAAAGGGTTGATTTCCCTTAATGTGAAGAAGTATAATGAGAGCAAACGGATAAGAGAAGCAATTGATGCACTGGAGAAGAAAGCTTTCTTCAATGCTCTGCTGTTTTTATTTTTAGCGGAAGAAGAAGTTACGCATGGAGAAGCGGAGGCAAGCCTGGGCAGAATAGGAATACAAGTTAAATATTCAAACTAACGGCCATTGTCTAAACGCTATATTTATCAGCTTTTTCTGTTTTGGGTGTTTTAGATAAAAAACCAAGTGAAAAAGTCAACTAACCAAACACTTTAATTAGCTATTTATCTGGTCGAATAGCCAAGAATTAGTCAAATCAGCCAAAAAATAGCTGATAGGCCGCTAACCAAACACCCCTATGTATTTTATTACAATTATCGAGGTTTGATTTTATCTGGTATATCTAATCTGAGACCGAAATCACTCCAAATAAAAAATATAAAGAAATACTCAATTATATTGGCTTAAATATGTTTTTAGTCTTTGCAAATATGAAAAACTTTGTTAAGTCCATGTGATGGATAATCTATCCGGGGGGTATCCTATCCGAGGGGTTATTGCGGGAATAACTAGAGAGAAGTCAGAGCAAAATAGGAGGAGAGAGAGTCGATTTATTAAATGAACTCAGCGTGTGGAAGTTGGATGTGGATCCTTTACAATGAGAAATGGGCTGCTATTTATAGCAGCAATAAATGCGATGAGAGTACACATGTCAGTAATCCAACGGCCGAGGGGTCACATCAGCCGGTTGGCACCGGCAGTGGTACGTCCACCGCATTGAATGCGGCTGGCGGATGTGACGTGGCATTAAATGTGGTGGTTGGCTGTCTCTAAAAGGAATCTTCGATGATTGAGCATGCTTGGCCGAAGGCTCCTTGTGTAGCCGAGGGCTCCATGTGCTCAAGGACCCCTGTGTAGCCGGAGGCCTCGTGTGACCGAGGGCTTGGTTCAGCCGAAGGCTTTCCCGATGCCGAGGGCTTGATAGCGCCGAAGGTTCATGTTTTTCGCCCTTTTCTTCCAGTAGCTTCGTACGCCAGAGAAAGCTATCCTGTGAGTTTTGGAGCCTTCGGCCAAGGAGGCCGAAGGCACCCCAGTGTGTATTCCGGGCTACTATGAGGCTTGGGGCGATGCATTTGGGCCTGAGTTGTTCTCTGGGCCCAATGGACTTGTGTAGGAGAAGTAAGAGTCTATGGGCCGGGGGTTCCTGGGCCATATACTCCATCAGGAGTCCCTCACTCTTTTTGCCGAAAGGTACTTGAGGGAAAAGGAGTAGATGTGTTGATTCTTCCGGAGGCTTCATCATCTGGTTGGGCGCCTTTGTTTGAGAATTCGCCTTCTGCTGATGGCCCAGGGCTTCCCTCGGTCTCTCACTCGTCGAGGGTTTTCTGAGGAAAGTATAACACTTGTATGACTGCCGAAGGCTTTCCCCAGTCCCTCACATGCCGAGGGTTTTCTGAGGAAAGTAGATGTATTGCCTGTATGTGTTGTGGTGAGTGCTGCTTCATTTCCATAAGTGATTTGGTATCAAAATTTCGATACTTGTTTTCTGCCGAAGGGGTTTATTGAAGTATGTACCCGAGGGCTTTTACTTTGTTGTTTGCCCGGAGGCTGTATGCGTCACTTGTGAATTTGTTGCATTTGGGAATTTTTTGTGTATTTTTCGTGTAATTCCCGAGGGGTGTATCCCAGTCCCCCACTCCTTTGGATCGAAGGCGAGTGCGGGCTGAAGGAGTCATAATGTGTTGATAAGCTCCCGAGGGGTGGTAACATGGATAAGCCGAAGGCTTATGTTGCTACATGCCTGAGGATGCCATACTGACAAGCCGAAGACCTATGCTGCTGCGGGCGCGAAGGCGCTTGGTGGAATTCGCTGGCTGAAGGCTGCGGAGAGTGGTAGACGGAAGCCACCCTTTGAGGGCACCCTAGTGTTTCTGAAATATAGCCGTTGCAATATAGCCGTTGGAAGAGGGGTTGACGTGGCGTGTCCTCGTTGGCTGACGGGGGGCGGGTGCCGTCCATTGGTTGAACCGGCGGCCCGCAATGATGGCCCTTTTTAAATCGAGGCCCAGTTCTCGAGGCTGAAAGCCTATAAATACCCAAACTTGAGTTCATTTGTCGTTGCGCGATTTCATTGAAGCGAAGCTCTGCCCAAGTGTTTTCTAGAGAGAGAAACTCGATATCGATCAAACCCAGCTTTCCGAGGCCAGTTCTCCTCCTGTTCTTGAGCTTTTTGTAAGTTTTGCTCTTCCGCCCTTAGATCGAGTGTTATAGTACCCCTAGGGTTCTAGAGATTCCTTCCCAACCCTTCGACTACCAACTTCAACATGTCCTCCGAAAGCGACTCGCAAAATATCTCGAAGGAGTCAGCAGCGCGAACCGAGAGCATCTCCGACGTAGAGTCATCGAATGATCAGCCCTCGACGCACAACGATTCCGCGATAGCCGAAGAGGTACAGGAAGAGCTTCGGGCCGAAGCGGAGGCTGAGGACTTCGAGCAGGTCGTCGAGGACGAAGAACTTGCCCTCGCCCTTCAGGTGGCTGAGGAGGAGGAACAAAAAGAGAGGCAACAGGTGACAGTTGCCGCACTCCCTCTTCGTGGTGCCGGCGAAGCAAGCAGCTCCCGGACTATGGATGCGGAGCCCATCAGTGTGGCCCCGGGTAAGGGGAAGAAGAAAGTGAAGGCTGCCCCGAAGAAGAAGAAGGAGGCTGCCGTCGATGCGGGAAAACCCGTCGACATCCCCGAAGGCTACTCCTACCTAAATGTCGCCGCCCTAGCTTTGAAATCGAGGGCTATCCAATCAGAGTACATGACGGCTCAGTTTCTTGTCGGCCCCCAGGCGCGTGTCATAGAGCCGAAGCCTGACGATGTACTTTCCCAGGCCCCCGAAGGCTGCTTTGCGGTTCATCTGCTGTCCATGGACCTGGGGCTCCGATTCCCCCTCCATCCATTTCTGATAGAGTACTTGAGGTTCGTGAAATTGGCCCCCTGCCAACTTACTCCCAATAGCCACTCATATATCGCCGGATTCCTGTCCCTCTGTCGTTCTCGGGAGATCGACCCCTCACTGGATCTGTTCTTTATGTGCTTCAACCTCTGTCAAGGAGGGCACACCCATGCCGAAGGGTTTGCTAATCTGCAACAGGTCCCGGAGTGGAGGCTTTTCTCCGAAGTCCCCTCTTCGCACAAGGGGTGGAAAGACAAGTTCTGCTATATTCGTATGGCGGTGAATCCCTTCCCGGAGCCTCTTAAGGATCGCTTCCGGAGGCACTTGAAAGTGGGGAGCGCCGCCCTCCAGAAACAAGGGAAGAAGCTGTCAGCGAAGCCGGAGGGTTCGGACAAGCAAGTGACCATCAAGGAAGTCACGCTCTCGGATGAGCTGTATAAGCTAGGCTTCAGGCGCTACCGCCGCTTTGGGGAGGGGGATGAGAGATACCCTTTAATCGACATGGTTCCTCAAAGTGCCGGAGGTTGTTTGCCGAGGGCTTTCTTCTCTGTACTTAGTGTATTTTTGTCATGTTGTGAATATAACACTTGCGTATTTTGCAGGACCCGCCATGGATCTAAAAGCTATCACCGCTTTGAGGAACAAACTTGACAAGGAGCAGAAGAAGAAGGATACCGGCCTCCAGAAGCCAGTTGATGCCTTCTTTAAGAAGGATGGTGCTGCCCCGGTTGTCGAGGGCACTCCCAAGGATGCGGGGGAAGGCCCCCAGGTCGAGGGGGTGACCAGGAAGAGAGCCGGCAAAGGCCAGGTGCCCCCGGAAAAGAAAAGGCCGAAGAAGGGAGCTGTCGAGAAGACTGACATTCCGGTGCTGAATGTAGAAGAGCTGTCTTCCTCCCAGGCGCTGGTGTCTACTCCCCCTCGCTCCCCCGCTGTTCCTGTTGCCGGCGAGTCATGGCCTCGAGAAGATGTGCAGTTCTCCATAAGGAAGGGGGCTGCCATCGCGCATGGCACCTTGGACCCGAAGGAGTTCCTAAATGGTGCTACCCCTCCGCTTGATAGGTCGCTCCTCGGCCGTTATGGGGATGAGGCCCTCGAGTCAAAGCTCCTCCAGGCCTCTGTTACAGTAAGTGTCCGAGGCCATCTTCCTTATGCTAAGTTTGCCTCAGTTATCCTTGCCTTGCCTTATCTGTTTTTTAACATTTGTTGTTGTGTTCGCAGGCTAGCGTGTTCCTCGGAGAACATGTCCGGAGGCTGGAGCAAATGCGTGCTCGCAAGGCGGAGGATGACGAGGCCCTCAGGAAGCTCGTCGCGACAAATACCGAGGCCATCCGACAGGTGGCAACGCTCGAGGAGACCCTCCGGCTAGAGAGGGAGGCCGTGGCAGCGAAACTTGAGGGCGCTAAGGCCGAGGGAAAAGCCGAGGCGGAGGCAGCAGCTGCCGCAGCAGCCAAGGAAGCAGCCGAGGCCGCAGAGAAGTCGAAGGCGGAGGCGGCATCTCAAGCTGTCGCAGACTTTATTGCCGGAGGCAGGAGGGGGGAGGACCAGGAGGCGTGGAGGGCCGTGGTTGTCCGGGAAGAAGTCGATGCCTGGGTCAAGGGCCCCGGCGCTGAATGGCTGGCGCTGAAGGGCAACGAATATTGGCAAGGGGGGAGTTCTTCACCCAACGCCTGATCTACCGAAAGCTTGCCGCGCATCAAGGGGTCGACTTGAAGGACTTCAAACCCGACTCCTTCGGCTTGCCCCCTCTCCAGCCGGATGTCAGAGTTCCCCTGCCCGAAGGCATGGAGAGGCCCATCCTTCGTGACTCCTTGCTGTTGCAGGAATGCGGAGCGGACGACGAAGAGGCTGGTGATGGTGCTACTTCCAAGATTGCCGAGGAGGGGGCAAAAACGTCTGATACTTAGAATAATTTTTCTTGTAATAATAGTCTAGCATCTTCCGGCCTCGGCCGTGCGTTGTAAAAATAGTCTTCGTACTCTCAAATCTTTTGATGATGAATGTTCCGCCTTTGGGATGAATGTATGTCCATGCTTTGTTTCCTTCAGCTTTATTCCCCTTACATACTTTTCCTTTGTGCCTGAATGTATGCTTCTTTCCTTCCTTCATATATTTGTTCGAGGGCCAAGGATTGGTGGACTTAGAAAGTTTTCTAAGTAGTAACCTTGACAACAAGCCTTCGGTTGTAGTACAGGTTCGCC